CTAGTATTTGGGATTTGGGATTTGGGATTTTGGCAAAAAATACTAATCATAATTTGGGATTTGGGATTTGAGATTTTGGCATTTGGAATTTTGGCATTTGAATTTTGAATTTGGATAGCAGGTATAATATAATTATGTTGAATCAATATTTTGTCATCAAGTTTTATTGGAAAAAGTATTAATTATATTTATTATTTTATTATTTTATTATTAATATTGCATTTGAAATAATAATATTAATAATTTTAATTATAGATATGATCTGAAAATTTGAATGTTCTTTCTTTACCTATGTTTTCAATATTATGAACCCATGCATTTTTTAATAATTGTAGAGCAGTTGCATTTGTATTACATTAAATTAAGAAAAGTATTATAACATTAGAAAAATTTATCAGAAAATGATCATCAAATTTTTAAATGAGAATATATTCAAGTTTTTAATTAACAATTTGTTGAATTTGATGATGATACATGGTTGGTGTGTTTTTTTCTTCATCCAGGATTTTGTAATAAGTTAATACTTAAATTATTATTATTTATTAAAAATTATTTATTAAAATTATTACAAATTATTATTAAAATTATTAAAAACTCTTTTTAATAATACATGTGTTGGCTCATAGTATTTTTCATCATATATTTCTTACAAGTGACAATTTTTTTGAACAGATAGATAAAAATAAAAAAGAAAGAAGTGATCTTGTGATGCAAATGGCTCTTTATTGTAAAAGAGAAAAACCTTTTAATTTACCTTATAATTTTAATAAAAGTTTAATATCTTGGTGATATCTAATTAAAAATATATTGCTTATTAAAAAAGAATATATCATTGAATTAGTATAAAAACTTTTTGCTATTATATCACATGCTGTTACATGTGAATGAATTTGATCATCTCTTGGAAATTTTTATAGTAAACATCATATACACTTGGAATTAGAAAAAATTGAATGTATATAAAAAATGGCTATATATTATGTTACCAACTTGAAAGGTAAATTATCACATTATGATATATCAAAGAATGAAGATGAAATCTTAAATGTATTAAAAAATGCTGATTTATTTGAAGAGAAAGATTTAGGTAACAATTTTGAAAATTATTTAATAGAATCTTCTGATTCTTTCAATAATAATGAAATGAAAAATCAGCTTATATTAAAAAATATTTTAAGTTTTGATACATTAAAAATTACAAAAGATCTTGATAAAATTATTACTAATTCTAGTATAGATATTATAAGTGATAATTTAGTTCAAGAAAAGGAATTCAAGGATATAATATAGGATCTTAATATTATAGCTGATTCTTTTATAGAAGAAAATTAAATAAAAAATAAATACAATAATTAATATAATATAATTAATAATAATAATAATAAAATTATAATTTTATTTTATTAATAAAATAATAATTAAATATTTTGTAATAATAATAAATTTATAAAATTTAGAAATAATCTAAATTTAAATAAATTCAAATATATTTTTTAAGTTTAAGTAATAAAATAAAAATTATAATATTGGAACAATTTCAAAATTTTTGTTTATATTTTGAAATTTGGACAATTTCGATATTTATCAGAAAATTCAGATTTTAAACAATAAGACAAATTGAATTCACTTAAATTTGAAACTAGATAATAGATGATTAACTTAAATTTGCTTACAATATTAGATATATATAATAAATTTATTATTATATTTTATTTTTTTATCAAAAGAAAATAAACTTCTGAAAGATATAAAAAAAAATCTAAATTAAAATTTTAATATGATGTTTCTTAAATTAATTAAGAATTAACTTGTAAACCTAATTTGAAAAACTAAAATCAAGTTCAATAAAATCAATAATAGAATTAAAAAAAGAGTTTAATGAAAATTAAATATATAATTAAGATTAAAAGTCTTATTGTATCATAATTTTAAATTTTTTTGTTCTATTTATATTACTTCACTTTTAAGTTAAGAAAAATGTATTATCAAAGTTGTAACTATTACAAACTAATATAATATTTTTTAATTTTAAAATAAAAATTTTTTATTAATAATACATTTCTAAGAAATTAAGGAAATCAAAATATTAATTTTTATGTAAAAACAATAGTATTCTAATTATTTATGTGTAAACTTTATTTAAGTTCAAATATTATTAAGTATATAGTAAAAAATATTATTTATTAATTTATTTCAATTTGTATTTTATTATTTTAATTATATATAACTTTAATACTAATTGAATAAAAAAAAATAAGTAAAATTTTTAATATAAATAAATTAAAAATAAATAAATAGAAATTTGTAAATAATATATAAATAAATAAAAAGATTTGAAATAATATATATATATAATAAACAAAGAAATTTGTAAATTATATACACATAGATATTAGTTTCTAAGAATTACCAATTTAATACTTAAACCAAACTGTAATTCTTAGTTCACAATGATAAACTATTTATTTTTTGATACAAGTTTTGTAAATATTTATAATTTTTGATTTTTGATTTTACTAGTATTTAAAAATAATTAAAAAGATTTATAAATTTAGAACATGACTATTTACATTTAAAGACTATATATTACAGATAAGTTTGATCCAAAAATTTGAAAATAAAATATATTATTAATATACTGGTCACTATTACTTCAGTTACTGGCTACTACTTTAGTTACTATTTCAGTTACAGATTACTACTATAGTTACAGGTTACTACTACAGTTACAGGTTACTACCTCAGTTACAGATTGAACACTTGTTATCTTTAAAAACAAAAGCAATAACTAGGTGGTTACTTAGTAGTTAGTTACCTTAAAGTAAACTTGAAAGTTACAGCTACATCATTAGTTAATCCTACATCATTAGTTAATTCTACATATTATTTTTACTTTATAAATCATGTTGATATTTAATGGCCAGGTAAAGCAAAAGATAGAAAATTAGTTACAAAAGATCATAACCTTTTCATAATGAACTAGACATTTCAGTTGTTGCAAGAATTCAGGTTCCATTTCAATTTTGGATTTAAATATTTTTATTATTGGAAGAAGAATTACAAGTTTTTAGCAATATGCAAATTGACATACACAAGTCAAATAGGAAAAAACCGGTAATTTTTTTTTTTGACAAGTATGGCAGGAATGGGTAGATTATTCACAAATAGCCAGAAATATTTGAAAATAGGTACAAAATAAGCACAAAAAGCAGAAAATACTTGGACTGCTGTTGACAAAGGTCTGCTTTCTGCTTGCACTTGAAACACATGCATAGATGTAACTTTTTGATGTGGTGAAGGAGGTTGATGTCTTAGTGAAGGAAGAGTGTGGTGTGGTGATGGATCTCATGAAATTTGAAATATCATAAGGTTTCACCTGGGGAATAAAATTCCCAGTGACAAAGGAAACACTAAAGCCTGAGTTGTAGTAAGGAGCATTAAACAAAGAAAAGAGTTGAATAATTGCTTATTAGTGAGATTGAAATTACCTTTATAATAGTTATGATTACCTAATTTGTTACTTAATTCCTGGAAACGCATTTTACACTCTTGTTGTCATTGTATTGAAAATTAATGAATTCAAATAAAACAGCACGAGAAAAATCGATTTTTTTTTTTTGTATTTTTTCCGGAAAGATTTTATTATATAAATATACGCGTTGCTAATATATATATATAATTTTAGTTTCTTTTCTTGTCAAAAAAAAAAAATCCAATAAAATAAATTTTTTAAAGGAAATAAAGGAATGTAACAGATAGGATTAACAAATTAACAATTAACCGCATCTTACAAAAAAAAATACAATTACTCCCACCCAAGAAAAGAAACCACGACGAACGGTAGGAAGGAATACCAAATCATATTAATGATTATATAAATAATCAGGGATTTGGTATGTGAAGGAAGAGAATATTAAGTGTTAGTATTAAAGTAAGTAATTTTGGTTTTTGGAAAAAAATTGTAAGTTTAAAAAAATTTTTTTTTTTTGTTTTATAAAAAATTTGAATTAATTAATACGAATTAGTGTGAATTATGTGAATTAATATGGAATTAATGTGGAATTAATAAAATTAATATACGAAATTAATGGAGATGTCAAAAATTTAATTCGATAATCGAATTAAGAAAAAAAGAAATGCATTAGACAATAATAAACTTAATTGCATAATTTTATCAAAAAAATGAATGAAGCATATAACAAAAAGAGCACAAAAAGATATTCGTGATAAAGTAATTATGAGGAAATCTTTCAGAGATCTATTGTTATGATATTGATAAAAAAAAATCATATTAAATGTGATGATGACAGTAAAATGTCTGCAAATTTAATGTATCAAAGAAAATTAAAGTTAAAAATGAAAATTGGTAGTAAAGGGTAAGGAATGTGATGATATTATTTAAAGAAAATTCAATTTTCATGATAAAATTAAACCAATCCAAATAAATTATGTAAATAAATTATGTAAATGGATTGTGTAAATGGATTGTGTAAAGTAAATGAATTATGTGAACGTATTGTGTAAAACCCTCCGCTAAATGCGATGACAGATATTGCCAAAGCAAACAGAGTCAAATGTGTATGTCTTATATAACTCATGAGTAAATGACGAACAATGTGCCAAATCATGGAACGGACATACGTCGTTCCAAAGAATCTAATCTAGCTTTCAAAACACTCAGAATATCTTGGTAATCTCGAGGCTGTGTCTCTTCATTACTTCGAGCTGACAACGGAGGACTAACATGAGTGTGTTGACCCGTCGATAAAAATTGTGATGATTCGTCATTATTTTCATTTAGATTAATTTGATTGAACGACGAAGAAATACTAGAACGATGACTGTATCCTATGTCACTACTTGCATTGCTAATACCACTTAATCTTCTATCTGTTTCCATAGGTGGACTGGGATTCATCATTGTAGTGTTATGACGCATAGATTCTTCCATCCTATCAATTCTTTTTTCTAACGCCATCAGATCTTGAACAGTCTCTCTTTGCATTTCTCTAAAATGTCCACGAACCAAACTTTCAATCATTGAACCTGAAGCTTGAAGTGTCTGAAGTAAGGTCGCAGTTTTACGGATTTGATCTTCGAGTGTAGATTTAAGAGAATGAGTATTGGAAACAGTATCATATAAGTTATCAAAAATATGAATAAATGATTCTTTTGTTGGTTGTTCAGAATTAAGAACTAATGTTGGACTAGTGACAGTAGAAGAACTTTTTGGACTTGGTGTTGGCGTATCATCAACATTTTGAGGTGAAATAAGACCACTGATACTAGCACTGGTAGAAGCGGAATGCACTTGAGTTGTGGTTCTAAAAACTGAATTGGCTGACAGAGGGACTGTAGAAATACTATGTCTATTAGGTGATGATCTATTAATAGAGGAAATCGGTGTTAAATTACTATTACTATTATTGGATCCACCACCAAGACGGGAAGTGGATTGCACTTGTTTAGTAATACTTTGTCTACTTGGAGCTGATCTACTAATAGAGATAACAGGGGAAGCAAAATTTGGATCATTATAAGGTGGAGTAAATACGCTAAGATTTCTAGAATTCCGATTCACTCTAGTTATGGAACCACGTTTTGACATAGAAGAAATTTGTTTTGAATCCCAAGCGCCTTGTTTAGATAAATTTGATCTTGGTGAAACTGTATTACCGTATCCGGCAACAGAATGTCTTCTATCAACATAATTTTGTTGTTGTAACATCTGTTGTTGTTGTTGTCTAGCTTCTATTATCGCCTTTTGTTGTTGTTTTAACTTTAGAGTGTTCCTAACTTGTTCCATCACTTCGGGATTATTAGTTGCCTTAATTTTATTAGAACAAATTGAAACACGTCTTTTCTTGCGTAATCTATCATCATCTATTGTTGACTCATTATGTGAGCGAGGTGATCCGGAATGATTTGAAGGGTTCGAATTATTTGGCGATGCTGGATTAGATTGGTCACTTCTGGAATAAGATTGTTCTTGCTTAATTGATGAGTTTCTTCTATATAATAAAGATAAACATTAATAATTATTAATTAAATTAATTATTAAATTGTTTAAAATTGTTTAAATTATTTACCTATCTGTTTCCATGGGTGAAGTAATGTTTTCTTCCGGTTTTAAAGAATATCGTGTATCATCAATATTATTATTTTCAGGACTATTTGTAATTGTATCAAAAGACATACGTTTCTTTCCATCAATAAGTGGAACTAATGATTGATTTTGTGAATTGTCATTATTAGTTGGAGAATCAGCTCGAAGACTACTGGTGTAGTTTCGTGGGGAAGGTGAATTTACAGAATAGAATTCAAACTCTGCTTCGGCAGGAGGAAACATGCGAGTTAATAATGGAACATCATTTAATAATCGATCTGCCATTCCTGATATTATATTATCCTTTTCATATTTGCAATATTCGGCAAGTAGATGATTTCCTAATCGAGTAGCAGTTTCACCTACAGCACGGGCAGCTAAAAATATGTCACCCGAACGTTCATAAAAACAATAACCAGGAGTATCAAAATAAATTTGAGGAATTTTCCCAGATTTGAATATAAAATCAGTAGACGATTCGAAAAAGATGGCATCGATGTCTCTTAACCGATAGAATGGAGAATATATGGTAGTTCTTGAAGATGTCTCTTGATCATTTTGAGAAGAAGCGACCAAAGGGAACAAATATAAGCAAAAGGGTTGCTGGTTGCCGTTGATATTATATACACCAAGTTGGAGTCTTGAGACCTTCATGATGTAAAAAAAGGAGCGTAAAATATAGTTGGAATTAAATAGTTGAGGAAAGTAAGATGGTATTTAATATTGAGAGTAAGAGATAAATGAAAGAAATTTGATACGGAAATAAAGAAAGATATAAAGGGGGGGGGAAGACTTTTAAGAGGCAAGCACAGCAGGCCAAAGGAATCAAACCAATGATAAAAATTGGGTTGGGATGATATAAAAGAATGAAAATATGGCAAAGTGCGAAAAAAAAAAAGTCTTTAAAAAGGCAACCAACTGAATAATGAGATAATAAGATTCAAACCGAAAAAATTGAGATTATTCATTTAAAGAAATTCCTTCAATGCTAGTTGAATGTGTGTTACCAATGTTGTCCAATTATACAAAATAGATATAGATTTTCAACATGCATTTAGGATTTCTTTTTTTTATGTTTCATAGCTCGTTCCAATGCTAGGTTAAAATTAATATCAATAAAAATTAATAGTTTACAACTTAATTGTTATCAAACACAATTAACAATGAATATTTTAAGTGATACTAATAAAGTTTCAGAAAGATTAAACGTGAGATTTACGCTTCACAGATGTATAAATGGTATGAATAAATGTGTTTAAATGAATATGTTATATATATATATATATATATGTATATAAATATAAAATAAAAATATATAATAGAAAATGTATAAATATTTGGAAACGTTCTAATTCATCCTGGAAACATTCTAATTTATCCTGGAAACATTCTAATATTTATCCTGAAAACATTTTAAATCATTTTTAGAAATCCATTTTATTCATTATGGAAATATTCTAAATTATAATTCATATTTTGGAAACTTTTTTTTTTCTAAAACCTTATCCTTTTTAAATGAATATTTTCTTTTAATAAAAAACATGAATTTTTTTTTTTATCTTACGTAGTAAAAAAAATTAAACTTTTTTACTTATTTGTCAATTATGTATAACAAAAGAAAAAAATCTAAGATGAACCTTAATTTATTTGTAACACGACAAACATAATATTATAAATATTATTATAATAAATATAATAAATTTTTAATTTACACTTTCGATCCATCAACAAAAAATGTATCTCTCGATAGATTTTTTTATACGCATTCTTAATCTTTCAATTTTTCACCCATCATTTGCTCTTATATTTCTTCCATTTATATACATTCAAGGTTATGAAATTAACCACCCTGCATTCATATATAGTAGTATTTATACTTCCATTGTATGCTTTTCTTGGTTTTTGAGTTATTTAAGCATAAAAAGTAGAAATGGAATGAAGACAAAAAGATTAGATTGGGACGAAGAAGTGGTAATTGTGACCGGAGGTTTGGCACTTACTTTAAATTATTAAATTATGAAAATTTTCCCATAAATATTTATTAATTTTCATGAATGTTTATGAATTACATAGGATCAAGTGGATTGGGTAGTTTGCTGGTTGAGACATTGGCCCTTAGAAATGTCACTGTTATTATATTAGACATTATACCCCCTGAAATAGAACATGGTATGTAGGTATGTAAATAATTCTTTTCTTTCCTTTCCTAAAAATAATTGACATTTTTATTTCTATTATTATTATTGTTATTATTATTATTATATAGTAAACATTATATACTACGAATGTGATGTATCAAAATTCGAAAATGTTCAAAATGTAGCCAAAGAAGTCATCGAAGAGGTAATTATATTTAATATTTTTAATATTTTTTAATATTTTTTTAATATTTAATATATATATATACACACATACATATCTATTAATTTTAGGTAGGTCATCCAACCATTCTTATAAATAACGCTGGCGTTGTTAAAGGAAAGACAATTTTGGATGAATCCGAAAACGAAATATTGGAGTAAGATTTTTTTTCATTATGTCTTTTTTTTTAAATACAATCGAAATAAAAATTTATTGAAAAATATTTTTATGTACATAAAAGGACTATAAATACAAATTTATTATCATCATTCTGGACAACGAAAGTATTCTTACCTGAAATGATCAAGAATAATCATGGCCATATAGTATTAATTTAATTTATATATTTATTATTTCTTGGTCTTTATTTTATCATTAAATTTATATTAATGTTAATTTCTTCTATACTTTAAAATAAAAAAGGTGACTATATCTTCTGCTATCGGATTTTCTGGAACAGCTCAATTAGGTAATGAAGAAATGAAGTAATTTAGTGTGAATTAATTAATATCATATATTTTCATATATTATAAATATTAAAATTTAATATTTAATTCATTTCAGCTGATTACGTTTCTAGTAAGGCTGCACTTGTGGCCTTTCATGAATCACTTCGTTATGAATTGAATAATCGATATAATGCAAAAAGTGTTCGTACTACTTTAGTTTGTCCAGGTGAAATAAAAACAGGAATGTTTGATGGAATTAAAGTCAAATGTCCTTTTATTATTCCACCATTGGCTCCATTAGACGTAGTTAAGCCTATTATCACCGCTTTAGACAAAAATCAAAGTCAAGACATTTTGATGCCATATTATGTTAATTTAATGCCTTTATTAAGATTTTTACCTTCATTTATTCATGATCTTGCTCATCAGGTTTTATTTTTTCGTTTTTTAATTTTAATTTTGATTTTATTTTTTTACAAAAAATATATTTTATTTATATTTTATTAAAACATTTTAATTTTTTTTTTTTTTTTAGATATCAGGTTCTGATGATGGAATGAAAACTTGGAAAGGTGCAAAATCCGCTTATAAAAAGAATCGTTGAACAAAATTTTACCTATGTGAAAATAAAATCAATTAAATGGATTTCGGAAATTTTAATTTATTTGAATAATCTTGGTTATATAAAAAAAAAAGAACTGTAATATTTGCAAGTAATAAATAAAATTATTTACAAAAGTTGTTCTATTTCTGAGTTTTGTATTTTTTTGAAGAGAATTTCATTTTGAATATTTTGAGACAATAACTCACATAGCATTTATGTACATGTAATATAATAATATGTGACAAATATTCATTTGTAATATTCATATATTAGAAAATGGAAACCATTGAGTTCGGAGAAATAAATATTTTTATTTTTAAATAAACTAGTCAGAAAAATTTCAAAATCTTTCTCACCCTCATCCCAAATGGAGTTGCGGGGAACCAACAACTGTAAAAAATTCATTTGCAAGATTATGTCTTGAGTGTTTGGTATTATGATGATAGCAGGGAAGAGGTTAGTCATCAGACAGAGTAATATTTGCAGCTGCATTCACATCCCTTTCTCATGTCATGTATTTGATCACCTTTGCTGGGCACAAGGGATGGACACATTCAATTGCACCATATGAATGAACAACCTTCTCCTTTCCATTAACCGTCCTGTAAGTTTGATGGAAAATGATTTTAGAAAAACATTATAGAAAAATCTTTGAAGAATTGCATTTATTTACAATTGCAACATTTCTATAAATTCTGTTTTGTGCCTGAATCTTTTCATTCCTTGTTTAAAATGTCCTTTGATGCAACTGTTGTATACATGTCATCAAAAGTAAAAAGCCTTTGATTCAATTCTAATTTTTCAATTTTTAATTGCATCTCAATAGTTTTGATGATATGTATAAACTGTTAATTCCTTGCCAGTATCTAATACAATAAATTAGTGTAGATTCTGGTGCATTAGGAGGAAGCTGAGCATGGACATGAATACATTTTCTTTCTTATGCTATAATTTTTTCATAAGTCTTTTTAGTTTGAATCTTCTACTCATAATTTTCTTTTACATTAAAAGGAGATGTTGAATCAATTTGAAAAAGAGTTAAAAAAAGTAATTGGAAGTTGATAAAAAACATGATAATGGTATGTGATGAATTAAAAAGTAAAAAGCAAGCATGTGCAACAAAGAATAAAAAAAAATAGATAATAATTTTTTATTCTATATATTTTTTCATTATGTATCATGTATTTGATATCTATATACTTATATATTTTATTTGTAACAATAAAAAATAAACATGTATTTGATAAGTTGAGCTACATCAATAAGTCTTGCATTTAAAGAAGAAATAAATTATAATTTTTGTAGGAAGATGAACCATACTAATAAGTCTCACATATCTCTAAATGACTGAATAGTAAGCTACATCTCTTTCTGAAGAAATAGTGAAGTTCAAAGGTCACATTATAATAAAAATAACCAATCACATTGATAACTGATTGGTGCCTTCTATAAACTAAATAGAAACCAAACTGTCATGTGTCTTAGGACATAGCTCTTAAAAGAACTGTCAACAAGGGTGAGAGTAAATCTTTACTTTTAAATACAATTAAAATTTTAGTAATTGAGTCAAGGATTTTTATTTTTGATGATATGTATAAAGTAAACTACCTTTAAGCAACTAATTTAGATTGTTCAGTAAGTGTAAAAGTATTTAGATATTAATTTTCACTTTGCTAGCTTGAAAATTTATAATGTTATTAGTATTTTTCATAATAATATTTTTTAAACTGAAATTTTAACCCGCAATGTCACGTGAAATATATTTAGTTGCGTAACGTTACTAAGAACGGAAATCTTAACCTATTCCAGGCGGTATAGATTCTTATCTGTGCCAATTATTGTGTAACCACATTAACGCATGGGTTTATCAGGGGGTGGATTATTTATTACCTTGTATCACACCCTTCGAATATAGAATTTTTTACACCCAATATTTGTCACCTAATATCTGTCACATGAATTAAACACGTGTAATCTTTATGATCACCTGTTAAATTATGGACCAATAAAATTCGGAGGGGACATAGTATAAGAGTCTGTACCCCCTTGAACAGGATAAAATTCTATACCAGGGGCATAGGATAAGGGTCCCTATTATGAATAACCAGATCACGTGGTGATTCATTTTTCACTATGAGCCGGTCAATAAATTATGATTGGCTATTTTATAACATTTTTTCGGCTCACTTTATATAATAATAATGTCAATTTCACGAGAACGTCTCGAAGAACTAGAAGTCATAAGAACCAAGCTTGGTGTCAAATTTGATATGGTTTCCTCGATGGTTGATAAATGGTTACCACCCACAAATCCTGAAGAAGAGGCGAAAGAGGAAGAAGCAGAGAGGAAACAACAAGAACAATTAACACGGTCTATAAGAGAACGACGTGCAGAAAGGTATAATTATAGTTTCTTGGAGATTGCAAATGTCGATTATTTGTTAATTTGAACTTTATTTTGCGTTAATAAATTTCAATTGAATAAAAAATCCCACATTTTATTATATATATATATGTATATATGTATTTATATATATTTTTTATTATATTTTATATTATATTTTATTATATTCTCGTGGCACGAAATAAGAATTGGGGTCGAATTAAAACTTAAGAATAAATTAATAAAAAAAAATAATTCACAAAAGAATGAATTTGATGATGATAATGTATCAAATGAAAACAACAACAAAGGAATGAATCATCATAAACAGAAAAGGAAAGATGACAAGGAGGAGGAGGAGGAGGAAGAAGAAGATAGCAAGACTATTGCTGTAATGAAAAGAACCAAATTAGATAAAAGTTTTAATAATAATGGTGATTTCTTATCTATGTATTTAACTGAGAAAAAGAAAAAAAAAAAGAATAAGAGAAATGTATAACTGTATAACATATGAGTCAACAAAATTGTAAAAATGAGTCATTTAGATCGATGATCAAAAAAAAATTTAGATTCTGTATCACATTAAATTAATAAATTTGAAGATATAAAAGTCAATTAAATTTATTAATTTTTTCTCAAAATAAAAATGATTTATTCAAAATTTACAAAAAGTTTAACAAACCTTTATCGCTCGAACGTGACAAAAAGAATTATCAATATACCTTCTAACAAATTAATCCAAAATACTCAATCGATAGGTTTTATTCAGAATCGATGCTATGCAAATCCAACGTCCAAAGATAAATTAATAATTTTTGATACATCTTTGCGAGACGGCGAACAGGTATTTCAATTCTTGACCTGGTTTAATTGAATTACAATTATTTAATTCAAATTATTCTTTTTTGTCTAATATTTAAATCCATTCTTTATTACAAAAAGTTCATTAATTTAATTAAATAATGGTGTTAAAAAAATTCTAACTTTAGTCACCTGGCGTTACTCTTAGTACCGAGGAAAAACTCGAAATTGCAAGGCACCTTTCGATTCTCGGAGTTGATGTAGTTGAAGCGGGTTTTCCAATTGCTTCAACAGGCGATTTTGAGGCAGTTGAACGTATCGCCAAAGAAATTGGTCCCCTCATGACTGGACGAGAGAAAATTGGAAAACCTATAGTAAGTTATTCCCATATATATACTTGACTCCATATATATATATATATGTGAGCTAAATTTCAAAATGAAATTTTTTACTATTTTAGGTAGTCGCAGGACTTGCACGTACTACTGAAAAAGATATAAAACGATGTTACGATGCTGTAAGCCACGCACCTTTGCATCGAATTCACACATTTCTGGCCACATCAGATATACATCTAAAGCATAAACTTAAGATCGATCGAGAAGAATGTATTAAACGTGCGGCTTCAGCTGTTTCATATGCCAAGAGTCTCTGTGAAGATGTTGAATTCAGTTCGGAGGATTCTGGTAGAAGTGATAAAGATTTCTTATGTAAGGTTTTGGGTAAGGTTATTGAGGCTGGTGCGACAACTTTGAACATTCCAGATACGGTTGGATACACTAGCCCTTCAGAATATGGAGAATTAATCAAATATTTAATTGAGAATACACCTGGAGGCCATAAAGTAATTATTATTATTTTAATATTATTTATTTTAATATTATTTATTTTAATATTATTTATTTTAATATTATTTATTTTAATATTATTTATATATTTATTTTATTATAAACATACATTATACAATTATTATAAAGGTAATTTGGTCGACACATTGTCACAATGATTTGGGTCTTGCCACTGCTAATACTTTATCCGGGATTCATAATGGTGCTAGACAGGTTGAAGTGACAATTAATGGTATCGGAGAACGTGCTGGTATATTGAATAATAAAATTTTTTCGCGTAATTTATTAAATTTATTGAATAAAATTTTAAAATCATCTATTATTATCTATTATTATAGGGAATACTTCGCTTGAAGAAGTTGTCATGAATATCCATACTCATCCAGCATCATACCCAGTATATCACTCCATTAATACTCAACAAATATATAAAACTTCTACTCTTGTTTCATCTCTTTCTGGAATGGTAATCCAACCCAATAAAGCTATAGTGGGAGCGAATGCATTCCTTCATGAGTCGGGTATTCATCAAGATGGAGTATTGAAACACAAACAAACCTATGAAATCATGAGACCTGAAGACGTGGGAATCTTCAATACAAATATAGTTCTGGGGAAACTTTCAGGACGTAACGCATTTCGTTCACATTTAATAGAACTTGGTTATGGAGATATGAATGATACCGATTTTAGTACAGTATTTGAACGATTTAAGAACTTGGCAGATTCAAAAAAACGTATAACGGATCATGATATTCTAGCATTGTTATCAGATCAAGTTTCAGGTTATGGACTTGAATCACAATTATTTCAATTAAAATCAATTCAAGTAGTTTCCGGAACTCACGAGATGGCCACCGCGACAGTTAAACTTTTTGATTCAACCAAAAATCAAGAATTAATTGATGCAGCCATTGGAAGAACTGGACCTATTATGGCAGTGTTTGGTGCTATTCAAAGATTAGTGCAATGTAAGGTACGGTTGTTACATTACGAAGTACGTGCTGTATCCGAAGGAATGGACTCTCTGGCGAAAGTCGTTGTGAAAATTACTGAAGATATTGATTCATCGGGATTAAGTATAGAAGGTTCAGAAAAACAATCAGTTGAATCTAAAGATTATAGTTCAGAAGGTGAGATGAAATTGACAAAGAGTACATTCCATGGTCATGGAACTGATGTTGATGTGATTTTGGCCAGCGCGAAGGCATATGTGAATGCGATAAATAGAATGTTTGAAAGTAATATTCAGGCAACGACAGGAAAGAGGAGAAGTTTTTTGGAAGAAAGGACAGCAAACGTATAATGTATATCCTGAATTAGTATTTGAAATAAACCAAGATCACATGACCTCAATACATTGGAATTAAATTATTAATTGTTTCATGAAAAAAAATATTATTTTATTAAATAATTATACATTAAAAATTTTGAAATACTATTAAATCGTATTTTAAGATTTTTTTTAACAAATTTTTTTATTCCCTTTCCCAAATGATTAAATAAATAAAGATGTTAATTTGATCCAATCTTTGAATTTACATCAGATTCATTTGAATCATTAGATTTTATTCCATTAGGTTTTGAAATTGAATCATGGGATTTTGAATCAATGTTTGAATTATTGGTGGTGACAATATTGTTCACATTTTCAGTTTCTTTTTGTTTTTGTTTCTTTTCTTCAATGGATTCAGTATTATCAACGTTTTGTACAGTTTCTACTAATTTAGCAGCTCTCACCCATTTTCTACGACGGGTATACTTTCTAAATCCACTTTTAGATGAAGGATTTTTCCATTGATTATCAAAATATTCCCATCCATCTTTATCTACATGACCTTCATAATCAATTGACCATTTCAAATCAGTCCATTGCCATTCCGTTGTCTTTTTAATAAGAATTTTATGATCTTCAGATGAGTTATAAGTTATTTTTTGTTTAGGAAGTGGAAATGAATCTTTATGATTGAGTGGTTCTTGATATTCGTCAGACCTTATTAAATAAATTTTTGTTCAGTAAATTGATCAGTCAAATGTTAGAAAAAAAAAGAATATAGAAAGAAGGTAAAAAAGAATGTAAAAAAAAAAAGAATGCTGATGGTTATTAATATTACCAAGGAGGTCTCTCATTAGGGAATAAATTCGGAGTCCAATCTAATCCAAGCCACCAACGTTGATTCTCATATAATACAAATTTAAATATCAAATCTGTTGTAATCTTGTTATAATCTTGTAAATCACTTTTTTTCTCGGCAAACCTTTTTTGTTCTTCTTTTGCTTTACGAAACAATGACATAACTCCACCTTGTTTTTTTAATCCTCCACCTAATAAAAAGTTAAGGAGAAGACTATATAATCCACGTAATAGTGGGGATTGCATAAGCGTAAATCGACTCATTATAAACCATGGACTATTCCACACCAAACAAAATGTTCCAATGATTGTGAAAATCCAGGTCAAAGATATAAAGTAATTAAGGATTATCCAAGTAGGAAATAAATAGATTAAACGAAAAAGCACCTTTCGAGTTCTTTCAGGATTCGACCAATCGATATAGGAATTCACGGAATTTAAAAAAGCGTGAAATGCGGAAAGTTTATCAGAAATTAAATTTATCTCGTGAACAGTTCGATTTAAATCTGCTTGTGAAGTTGCTTGTGACGATAAACTAGATTTACCTGAAAGAAAATATTAAAATATAAAAATATCATTTTTATCAGAGAAAAATTGGGGAATGAAACAGTTTCGTTTACTACTTAATTTCTTAATTTATTTCACTGCTTATTGCTTACCTAATCTTTCACTCTTTCCTTTCTCAACCCAACGCCAACCAATTAAGAGAAAAAGGCTTAGAGGAATTCCATAAATTAATATAATTTTTGGATATAGACAAATTGTCCACCAAGCTGTAATCAGTAAACATGATTCTGACCAACTTCTCGTTGACCATGTCAATAAGGATAGAAAATATGAAAATAAATGTATTACAGGAGAAGTATAGGCCAATACGCGAGTAATACTAGGTGGAGTTGAGGATAACAAGTCAACTGGGGAAGGAGGTCGAGGTTGTAAATTATTGGTCTTAGTATTTATCACTGTAGGAAGTGAGCGAGTTACTTTACTATGTGACATTTTAGTATCTTTTACAGTCTTATTTGGATTATCTGGAGGAATATTTGTTATAAAAAAAGCTTGAGAATCAAAAACGAACGACATCTAAAAGAATCACCAAAAACCCGTTTATTTAATTAATAAATTTATTGGGAAAATCATATGCCAAAGTTTTGGTTAACATATGATTGATTCTTATGTCATTATTAGATAATTTTTTAATTTTTTAATTTTTTTATTAAAATAATTTTTATATTATATTATATTATCAAATTTCACCACGAATATAATTTTTCCCCCTTAACGTGGAATATCTTAAATAATGACAATACAGAAGATTTTTCACCAAATTTAAGGCAGATTTTGATTAAAACCGGTAAGAAATATACAAGAAATATTGGAACTCAATGCTGTGAAATACATATTCCTTAACAAAAATGAAGCAAATAGATATATATATATTAAAAATCAATAAATAAACAAAAATATTTATGTATTGTATAACAATTTAACTATGATATTTTATTGTTACAAGTGAAACAAAAACAGAAAAAACCATTATAAAAAATATATATATATGTATATATATAACAAAAAATATTATAAAACATTAAAATATGTAAATTCTATAAATTCTACTATTTTTGTATAATTTTAGTGGTGCCACTAAGATGAATAGTATGCTTAACACCATGTGGCAAAATGTATGTTTCTACATGATTAGTTTTTATAGCTCCTGGAGGAGGTTGAATATGGTTTTTATAAATATTTTCATAAGGGTTGTATTTTGATGATGACCATTTTGGAATGTAAACAGAAGGTGAAAGAGTAGAAACAGGTTGATAATTGTTTTTTTGTTGAAAATTTTGTTGTGAAATAGTTGATAATAGATTAGTTTGTTGCTGCTGTTGTTGTTGCTGTTGCTGTTGTTGTTGTTGCTGCTGTTGTTGTTGTTGCTGTTGCTGTTGTTGTTGTTGTTGTTGTTGTTGTTGTAAAGTTGGTTGAAATTGATTAAGGTTCTGTAAAGGAACAATTTGATTAATTTGATTAATTTGATTAAAATATTGTAAAGAATTTAAATTTTGATTATTAAGATATTGAACAGAATTTTGTAAAGTGTATGAATTAAAATATTGTTGTGGATAATATTGATTATAATAAGGAAATGATGTAAAATATGGATCAATAGGTAATTTTGTCATATAACTGAAATTATTAGAATTGGAATTATTAAAATTAAAATCAGGATTAGAATTAGAATCAGGATTAGAATTAGAATCAGGATTAGAATTGGAATCAGGATTAGAATTAGAATCAGGATTAGAATTGGAATCAGGATCAGAATTAGAATTAGGATTAGAATTGGAATCAGGATTAGAATTAGAATCAGGATTAGAATTAGAATCAGGATTAGAATTAGAATCAGGATTAGAATTGGAATCAGGATTAGAATTAGGATTAGAATTAGAATTAGAATTATCATCATTATAATTATTTGTTTTGTCAACAACAATTATTGATTCATCTGTTCTTACTGTTTTACATGATACTTCACTAGATTTAATTGTGGATATTGTAGAAGAATCATCAATAACTTTTTGAACTTCTAAATTATTATTATCATCATTATTATTATTATTATTATTATTATCATTATTATTATCATTATTATTATTATTATCATCATCATTGTTATCATCATTATTATCATCATCATCATCATTTTTATTATTAATTATAGGAACTGCAAAATTTTTTGTATCTTCATTTCCTTCATTTCCATTTTCATTTTCACAAATTGAAGGTGTTACCATATTAACTTGAGAAATCCACTTTTGAATGCTGTTTGTTTTGCATGCAGTCAAACAGTTCGAATTGATATTTGGTGATTTGATTATCGTGATTTCTTGATCATTATTAGATGATTCATAAGATTTACTATTTCCCGAATTAATGCCTTTTATACTATTATTTGTGTCATTTGCGTCATTTGTATTATTATCAGAATAGGGATTAATATTTATTATACTAATATTAGTTATATCATTGGAGTATCGATTATCATCTGTTATTTTGGTATTATTCATATTAATCTCTTTGACATTCTTAGCTTGAGTATCATTTATAATTTCTATCATGGAATTTACTTCGTCTGCATTATATCTATTGGTTACTTGCATTGTGATGACATTGTCCACATTAATTTCATTTATGTATTCAAAATTATGATTATTATTATTATTATTTACTATTTCTGTTGTAATTATTTCGTGTGTTTCTTCGGAATTAGAATTATCATAAATTATTTCCTTCTTGTTATTGTTCAATTCTTCTTCTGCATCCTTTGAACTATTCTTTGATTCTTTCGTTTCTTCTTCGACATAATTAATTATTTCCCTGTTATTATTATTATTATTATTATCAAATTCTTCTTCATTTAAACTATTTTTTGGTTCCTTTGTTTCTTCGAAATCAGAACTATCATTGATTATTTCATTATCATTATTATTATCAAATTCTTCATCTGCATCCTTTGAACTATTCGATTCTATGGTATTAGGACTATCATTAATTATTTCCATGTCATTATTAAATTCTTCTGTATTTTTTAAACTATTTTTTGACTCTTTCATTTCTTCAGCATGATAATTAAAGTTATTATTTGAACTATTCTTTGGTTCTTTTATTTTTTCGGAATGATAATTATTATCAATTATTTTCATATTATTAAATTCTTCTGCATGAAGAATATCATTAATTATTTCCATATTATTAAATTCTTCTTCTTCTTCATCCTTTAAACTATTCTCTGATTCTATTGTTTCATCGACATAAGGAATATCATTAATTATTTCTATATTATTGAATTCTTCTTCTTCACCCTTTGACCTATCCTTTAATTCATCATTAATATTTTCTGTTTCTTTCCGTTGATCTATCCACTTTTGTACACTAGAAAATATTTGATCAACTTTATAATTATCTTCTTTTTTATTCATTTTGATTGATTCTTTATTATTAGAAATTCTTCGTGAATTTACTCTCGTACCATATCGACCATTATTATTATTATTTCTATTACTTTCTGAATTCATTGATTTAATTCTACTGGAAGATCTTAAGACTCTCGTAGTAGGATGGATTATTATTTTTCTTTTTTTCGATGGTGATTTCTTGGATGAATCATCATCATCTTCATGATCATCATCATCATCATCGTATGTACTACTCTGCGAATTCTGCAAATTTTCTTCTTCGATAATGGTTGGTAGATTTGCATGTGATATTAATTTTCCTAATGAGTTATCGTTGTCCTCGATCTGATAAAAAATTTCATCACTATTATCCATTGTAACTTTTTTTAATAATTTTGATCGAAAAATTTGGGTTTCCATAATGTTTACATGTTTCGATAATGCATTTCTCACTTCTAATCTGAGATTTTTCCTAAATAATATTTAATTAACAATTAAAATTAATCCAAGGCAAAACATTTAAATTTTAAATGAATCATATAAATTAATCATTAATTTCGTTTTACTTTGTGGGGCAAAATTTATAAATTTCGATACATTTAATTATTGTATCAAGATTACTAGGATTATTATTTAAAGCAATTAATGCTTTAATAGTTATATTAAAAGCTGGACAATGATTTTCGTCAATTGAAATTTTTCGTTTTATTGAAGCGAATATAGAATTTACAACTTCGAAATCGTCGTCGCTTATATTTCTCGTCATTTTTTTTCTTTTTAGAGAATTTCCGAGTTTTCGTAAACAAAAAATCAATTATGACAAGTCTTTATGTAAATCATATAAATCAAATCATATGATATGATTTTTTTGTAGATGAATTAAGCATCCTTAATATCACGTTTTAATATATGGGGGTGGGGGGTTTTTTTTTTTAATGAATCATGAATCATTGAATCATCTACATTTTCAGATTCCATTGTGACAAGGATTTTTTTTTTTTGCGTTAAGTATTTTTAATTATTATGTTGGAATGAAATTTAAAATTAGTTAGTTAAATTGATAAATAACTATCTTACATCTTAAAGACCCAAAATTTTTTTTATAAAAATGTTCAAGATTTTTTAAAATAAGAATGTCTAGATTTCTTTCATAATATGTGAAAAAAGGTGATACAAGTGAAAAAATAAACAAATTAAATTGTAATATTGATAAGAATCCACCCTTACATGTCTTACCTTATTTTATTTTGTTTTAGGAGAATAGTTTTCTTTGAAAAGAAGTTTATTGTTTTTGTGAGTAATATATTTAGTATCAACCAACCCAAAATTATTTTTTTTTATTGTCATTTGTGTTTATCATCTTGCCTTGCTGATCTAAAGACTAGTAAGGAAAATTAAAAAGAAAAAAAGAAAAAAAATTATGTAATTCGGCGCAGAGTTGGGGGCTTTCGATAAATTTATATAATTTCATGATTTCTTCAAAATTTTTTTTATTTTTTTTTTTAAAAAAATAAATAATTGGATTTTACTTGAGAAAAATGACAAATTTGGTAAATGATGATGATATGATTATTATTATTTTATTTTTTATTTTTTATTTTTATTTCATCATTAAATATATATATATATATATATATATTGACAAAAAAAAATTTATATAAATTATATATATAATCTAGAATATGAATAATGTTAATGAAAAAGATGAAAAAGGAATTGGAATTATAGATATCGGAAGTAATGGAATTCGGTTTGGATTAGTATCTTCTCTTCAACGTCATTTACCTGTGTTATATGAAGAACGTGCTCCAATATCTTTGTTTGATGCTCAAAATGATGATGATAATACTGAACGTAAACCAATTTCAAAAGAAATAATTGATGATGTAATTAATTGTTTACAAAGATTTAAATTTATATCTAAACATTATGAAATTGATAATATCAAAGTTATTGCTACTGAAGCAACTCGTACTGCACCAAATTCTGAAGAATTTTTATTTCGTATTTATGAAGCAACTGGTTTAAAAGTTGAAAAATTATGTGAAGCTGATGAAGCTCGTATCACAGCTATGGGAATAATTGCTACTTATTATGAAGTTGAAGGTTTAGTTATGGATATGGGTGGTGGATCAATGGAATTAAATTTTGTTATTCATCATCCAAAAGATAATGATGGTATTATTAATATGTCGGAATTCCCTATAAACCTTCCTTACGGTGCCGCAGCGTTAAAAAAATTATTAAAAGAAGCGAAAGATCAACAAAAACGTTCACAATTATTTAATACAATAAAAACTAGATTAGAAGAAGGTTTCAAAAAATTGAATCCTCCTGAAAGTATTAAAGGTGAAAATGGATATACGGTTTATATGAATGGTGGAGGATTTCGTTCATTAGGTTATTTAAGTATGTCAGAAGAAATGAAACAGAATTCATATCCAATGCCTATTATAAATGGTTATGGTATTTTAGCAAAAAAGTTGGTCGAAATTACTGATCGATTTCTTGATAAACCTAAATTTCTTAGTGGTAATCCTTTTCGAATTAGTAAACGACGTGAAAAACTTCTTCCCGCGGCATGCTTTTTATTTAAGGTATTAATGGAAGTTATTCCTTTAGATTATGTTTACTTTTGTGAAGGAGGTGTTCGTCATGGTCAATGTTTCGATTTGTTATCTCCAATACAACATCAAAAAGATCCATTAGAATCATTTATATTTAGTCATCCATTTCAATCCCCTTATCTTACCGTTCAATATCGTGATCATTTAGTCAACATAATTAAAGAAGGTATTCCATCAGGATTATATGATATCCTTGATCATGATGAATATTCAATAAAAAAATCTAATAGACTTGAGCGTCTTCTTCCGAATCTTGTTTGTCTCGCTCATTGGTCTATGAATCTTGCTAAAGAATCTCGTCCCATTGCAGCATTTTATTTACCTTTAGCTGGAGGACCACTTAGTGATGCACCAGGACTTACACATACTGATCGAGCAATTATATCATGGTGTTTAATGTGGAGATATCATGAAGATGCTAGTGGAGCAAAGAGTGGAGGAGTTGAGAAAGATATATCAAATATGAATCCTTCATTATTTGATAATGTAAAGGAATTGATACCAGCAGGAAGAGATGGTAGAATGGCATGTGAAATTATTGGAAAATTTATAGGTTTCGTAATATTAACACATCCAGGTTTTCCGAAAATTGAAAATATCAAATCTTTATGCAAATTTAAAGTCACCGAAAAAATAATTGAAAATTCTAAGAGAAGAAGATATAATGTTCAATTAACCATTTTTGGTACAGAAGAATTTCGTGAACGAACGGAACACAAATATCTTGTAAATAATTCAATTGTTAAAAAAATCAGTAAAAAACTTGAAAAAAGTTATGAACTTATTGAAGAAAAAAATCAAGTTATTACCGACGAGGTCATGAGCATTCAAAATAGAAAAAGAAGAAAACGAGGATATCATTTAGGCGAAATTCATATACGAGTAAATTTCTCCGAAATTATGGAATAATAAAAGTTGTTATTTATTTTTTAAGTATATTTTTATAAGAAAATTTATATAATAACATTTATATATTTTTGGATTTATAAAAGACATTTAAGAAAGCATACATAAGTGCAAACAAACATTTTATATGTAATTCACTTAACTCACCTATAAATCTATACATATCAATATCAATATATTATCTATATTATTATACAATTTAAAAAGATAGCAATAAAGTCATATATATTATTTTTATGTTATTTGACCCAGCCAACATTATCAACAATTCTTTCTTTATCCAAAAGTAAATAAATTAATTAATTAAATAAAATTAAATAAATAAATTAAATATAAAATATACATTAAAAATTAATAGAAGACTATGTAATAACAACAAACAACAACAATAATGATAATGATAATGATAATTCTAAATTTTTTTAATATTCTATAATAATATAATTTTTAATAATTTCATGAAAAAGGATCAAACATTGTTAAATCAGCTTGTTTTTTATGACTTGTAGACTTATTATTATTATCATCAGAAGATGATGCATTTGGTTTTAAAATATTTCCAAGATTTAAATTTAATGAATTTTGTGGATTTGTAAAAGATGTTGTTGTTGATGTGGATGATAGTGAGGAAGTATATAAATTGTTCAAATTTCCCATAGGAACTGTAAAATTTGTAAGAATTATAAAAATTGTAAAATTTAAGAAATTGTAAGAATTTTAGAAATTGTAAAAAATGTAAAAACTGAAATAGATATTAATGTAATTTATGATTAAAAAAAAAAGAAAGAAAAATTATTACCTTGTGCCAAAGAAGTAGGTCTAGATGATGATAATGTTGTATCAATAAATTGATTTTGATTTTGAAGTGGAGGTAGTGATGGAATATTTTGAATTGTGTTAATTGGTGTAGTTTGTATTGTTTGTATTGTCTGATTATTTGATTGTGGAAGTGGAGAAGAATGAAAATTATTAAATGATGAATGTCCATTACTAGTATTTGTTATTGTTTGTGAAGATAAAGAAGGAACACCACTACTGAAAGATTGAACTGAAGTATAATTATTATTATTATTATAGTTATTATGATTATAATTATTATTTATATTATTATTATAATTATTATTCATATTATTATTATTCATATTATTAATATTCATATTATTATTCATTAAACTAAGAGAATTTCTTTGTTGATGAGGAGTCAGAGGTGGTGAAATAGATGTTGAATCAAAAAAGTCAGGTTGTATTGTAATATGTGATCCTGAAAATGATCTATTACTACTACTGGAATTATGATGTGAAACCTTTAGAAAAAACAAGAAGAAATAATGTTTAGTTATTAATAATTAATTAGAAAATTAATGATTTGATTATAATGATATAAGAAGTGAAACCTACAATATTAGATTTTCCTAAAGAATTAATAAATGTTGAAGAAAAATCATTACTATCACTTGGAATTTCAAATGGATCATTGATGACATCTTTAGATTCATCCTTCTTTCCATTTGTATAAATATTTGCATATGTACTGCTTTCTTTAGAAACACCAACAAGTTTTTCAAAATCAACTGAAGAATTTAATTCATCTTTATTTTTTTCTAATTAATTAATTTTATAATATAAAAATAATAATTAGTATGTCTTATAATTAATAATATATATATAAATATTATGTATATAAATTAAATGTACCATTTCCTCCTTCCATATGTTTTTGGGTGTTGTCTTCCATAGATCTAATATCTTGAAGTTGTTTTGAATGTTGTTCTTCAACTTTTGAAGACATAAATTTAATAGCTTTCATAAATTTCTGAAACTAGAGATGATTTGTAATTAATGATCATAATTAATAATTAATAATATTATTTGATAATAGATACAATTAAAATAATTATATTTTAATAATTATAAAAAAAATACCTGATCAAAATTCAAAGTAGGCACCACAGACATTTTCCATAATTGAGGTAAAACTTCAGTTGCTATAACATCTTTTTCAACATTTTTACCCATTTCATCATATACAGCAAGAGCAGTAATCTATAAATAATAATGATAAAAATCTTTGAATCTTTAAAATTTTCATAATTTACAATTTTTCTATTTTAAATATATTTTTCAAAATCTAAATAATTACCATTACGTTCGGCTCTTTTGTTTTAATCCCTTTTAATAAAGGTATTAATTTTTCTGTTATTGTAAACTAAAGGTGATATAATAATTATTTTAAAATAATAATAATGATTTTTTATTGGTAATTGGGATAATTAATGAATTTTTATTAATAAACCAAATTAAAATATAACTTACATTATCCAATGATTTAACTAATGATTGCAAGCAAATCAAAGTTGTAATTTTAATGGATAAAATTGTTGTATGGGTAAATAAATTCTAATTATTAATTAATTAATTAATCAGTTAATATTATTTATCATTGTTATTATAATTATTCTTTATATGAATGGAATTAATGAATAAAAAAAAAATTATAAAAATACCTGTATTCTTGGAAATAAAGAAGATTTAATTGTAAGTAAATCCAAACTTTCAATTATCGCTGGCATAACTTTAAGAACTTTTTCTTGAATAGCAAGTGTTTTAGCTTCCAAGGCATTATAAATTAAAGGCATAACATCTATTAAAGTAATAATAAATCGTATAGAAATATAGTTATACATATATGGATAAAAATATATTACGCACGCAATATCTGAATAAATAAATTATACATACAAACCTTCTTTAAATATGGTTGAAGAAGTTTTTTGTTGAAATAACTCAATTTTATCCAGACATGATATCATATTTTGCATAGGTTCAGTAATTGAAAAGATAGGTTTTAATGGATCAAGGACTTTTACACAAAAGTCACTGTTTGGTAATTTCTGTGCAATATAAAAAATGTTTGGAAGAGTATATGGTAATAAACTATGATCTTTGATTTCTTGAAGAAGGCATGGTAATATCTAATAATAAATAAAAATAAAATAGATTATTATTATTATTATTATAATAATAAAATAAAATAAAATAAATTAAATTATTTTAATAATAATTTATTTTACCTTACGCATTAAAACTCTTTCCGGAAATTGAGGCAAAATTCGAATTAATCCTTTCATAAAATTAGCTTTATCATCTTTAGATTTTTCCGGAAAACTTTCGAAGAATTTTACGGTAGAGACTAAAACATTATCAAAATATTTGCTTGTTTGGAATTCCGAAGCTGTCATCCTTTGTGAAGGGTAACGAGTAAGAAGATTAAACATAACCTCTATTAAAAAAAAATTATATTATTAATTATTATATTTTAATATATTTGTTATTATTATTATTGTTATTATTATTATTGTTATTATTTGATATTAATTGTTATTATAATAATATTTACCATGAAGATGATAAGGAAGATGATCATACTTTATTTTTGATAAATTTTCAACGTTTTTACGATAATTATGTATACTATTTCTATTTTCCATTGGAGGTTTTCCATGACTATGAATTGTATATATTAAAGAACCAAGAGCGAACATATCATTTGCAAATTCAAGAGATTCATCCAACACATATTCCGGTGCTAGAATTAAATAACAATATTAATATATAAAGATAAATAATATCATTATAAAATGTAGAAATAATTATAAAGAATTTTAAATATTTTACCCATATAATCATAACTTTTTTGTGCATAAAATGGTATTCGTGCATCATAATCCGGATATTCATATGGAATTGGTGAATCTGGATTGATGAAATTACTAAATCCAAATCTAAAAAAAAAAAAAAAAAATTGGATTAAAAAATTTATTCAAAATTCAAAACTTTTATTTATTAAAAATATATATATACAGTATATATATATATATTTATTTATTTATTTATTTACCCTCCTATTTTCCAGTCTCCCTATAATTGTATAAAAAACATCTTTAATATTTTAAATAAACAAATGATTAACTAAATAATTAAAAAAAAAAGGTTATTAAATTTATTTGATTAATTACCTTAACATTTACAAATATTGCTTCAGGAACTAGATTTGAATGAACAATTTTAGCATCATTATGACAAAACTGTAAACCTTTTCCAACTTGTAATAAGCCTTTTTGAATCTATTTTTTTTTAAAAAGAAAATATTAGAAATAAATAAATATAATATAATATAAGTAAATAAAATATAATATAAAGAATAAAATATAATATAAGTAAATAAAATATAATATAAATAAAATATAATAAATTATAATATTATTACCTCTAATTCATCCATTTCAAAATTCTTGATATCATCAGGAACAGGTGATAAATTGTCATGATTATTTAATAGATTAGAGAGTGATGCTAGTATTGGCTCTGTGGCAAATGTAATGACTGTTCTTGATTCTTCTACTGCTTCAACTACTTCAAGAAGTGATGGATGTCGAAGTCTTGAAAGTTGACTAGCCTACAATTACATTAATTACATCAATCACATTAAATTTATTATTATTATTATTATTTTTATTAACAAATATTTTCATTTTCTGTTGGTAAAATATTTACCTCTCTCTTTAAAACTTGATATACTTTTTCATTTTCTTTCTTTTCATATCCCTTTCGTAAAGTATTGTCTATAAATTTTTTCTCAAACATCTAAAAAGATCAATATTCAGGAAATTATTATCATTATTAAGATCATCATTATTAATTATTATCATTATAAAATTTATTCAAAATTATCACTCACAAATACTGCTACTTTTTGACCTGTGGTCTTTTTCGTTCCTATTAAATAATATATTTAGAATAATTAACATATTTCATGTCTTATAGTTAATGCATTTCACTTAATTTAATACCTCCATAAATTTTCCATAACCCTGCACTTGCAACTTGATCACCAAGATCATATTGACGTAATACTGCTGTTCCTGCTACAAAAGAGACAACTATTTAAAGATAAAAAAAAGCAATTTAGCTTATTTCCTTTTTTTTTTAAAAAAAAAATAGATCTTTATAAAAAAAACTTCGTACCTTGTTGAAACATTCTTATCTAACCGATTCAAAAGAAGAAAAAAACTAAATATATAAAATATATAATTTAATTTTAACTACTACCAAAAATATATTATAAAGAGAATAAATTGTATTATTTTTATTTAGTCTTTAGTACACTATTGTCCAACACGTGATATCTAAATTTTTCTTCGTACCCCTTATATTAAACTATTATTTAAATCTAATGCATTAAAATATTTATTCGTACACACACGCATTCTATTATTTTTTTTAATTTACAAGAATCTCTTTAATGTTATCGATATTATTGATTGATTTATTGTAACTGCTTCATTCATTGTGTCATTTTTGATTTTCACGTTTCTTTTTGCATATAACAGTTCGTTCGAGCTTCAGTAATTGCTTGACAATTATTTTTTGAGTGTAAAATATGTACTGATCATGTGATTATCTTATAGCCTTACATCAGATTTTTATAAAATAAAATGATTTTTCAGATAGTGATTTTTTTTGAATGTTTAGCCATTACTTTGTAACGATCTTGATAAAGGTAATGGATTGGATGCAACCTCCCCTTAAAGTATAATGGCCACAGAGAAAAAACTTATTATAAATTATGGCTGTTTTATAATATAATAGCATTTTCATAAAATTTATTTTATAAATTATAATTTATATGATAGAGAAATATAATAAGAGACAAATATAATATATTTAAAAAATTGATAAACTTCACAATCTATTTATTATTTTGATAGGAAAGAAGGAAAGAATGAGTTACATGAATAAATCTTATTACAATAATAAATAATTCTTTATTTGGGAGAATCGGGTTTCCAAAAAAGTTTGGGAAAAATTGAATATGGGGCTTATCTGAGAATTAACCAGTTTAAAAGTATCTTAATCGTTTGTTACTGTGATATAAACAAGAATCTTTTTTACCTGTTAAGGATACTAATGATGCCTACTGCAACTATTTCTGAAGTAGAAACAATAGTAAAATTTTAATAGGTAGCTAACTTCAATTACTTTTTATTAGAGGTAGCTACTTTTTATTGGAGGTAGCTACTTTTTATTGGAGGTAGCTACTTTTTATTAGAGCTACTTTTTATTAGAGCTACTTTTTATTAGAGCTACTTTTTATTAGAACTACTTTTTAT